GTGAAGTACCTAAATCAGAATTTCTGTTTTTTAGGAATAAATGCTGACCGTGTGTAACTTGGTTGAGTTAGTAGTAGTTCTCATACAAGTTTTATGTGTGATGTTCTCTGCGTACCTCGCTATATGGAGGGAAGGAGGAAATTTGAAAAACACTTTTAATCCATTGTCTCGGTCCCAAGATGAAGTGTTTTACTGTATAAAAGCAGGAGACAGCTGAATCTTAGTAGCTGGAAAGCCCTCTACAAGAAAAACATGTTTGTAAACGTGACCTTAGTATCCACGTCTTTATATGAGACATAATTATTACGTGAACAGCAGTGATTAATTTTCTTTTCCAAATATATGCTTTATTTTCTGATACTTTGGGGTTAGTTTTGAAGCTCAACCCTTACATCAGTCAGAATCAAGTTTGGTCTGTATTTAGATAAATGAGAACTTTTGTTTTCTGGTTCACTAACTAAATTGCAATTCATATTAATTAGTAATCTTAATAGACAGAATGTAGGCATGTGATTAAAGGAGTACTGAAGGTGTTTGGCTATAATTGTATAAACAATTAGTAAAACCATTGTGTGACTTAGTTGGGAATACAAAGAAAACAGTCCCTTTTCCAAACATGTCTTACTTTGTACCTTACACTTTTCTCATATGGTGATAGGGGAATGCATTGTTTAATATTTTAAGAGAATGTATTTTATAATCCAGATCTTCTTTAAAATAGAAATAATTTTGCTTGAAAGTTGACAAAGCTTGCTTATTATTTTGTAAGAGTTTCGGATGTTAATCTGTGCATTTTTTACCTGTTCAAAGGCTGAATTTTTTTGAGAAAAAAAAATCATAAAATACTTTGGTAATTCAGCACAGTAGATTTTTGGATGTAGTTACGTTATAAGCACTAAACCCAAGTAAAATCTGATGTTATGATCCCTCACATGGCATACTGATGCATGTATTACTGTTGCTTCAGAAGTTAAGATTACTTGAAGGCCCATTTATTATTTCCTTTTAAAAAAATAAATCTTAATGTGAGGCTTTTTGTAGAGTAATTAGGAATGTTAGTTCTTCCCATGGCAAGTAACCACTGAGCTGTAATGCATATCGTATTTATTGAATTGACTGAGAAAACCTGTTGGTATTGGAGCTATATATTAAATTTTTTTCATTTCCCTGGAAGATGTCTATTTTCAGATCTCCTACTTTTATCAAGGAAGCGTTTGCTTCTTAGGTCGTGGGGAATCCAAATCCTTTTTGAAAAAGGAGAGAGTCATTATCTGGTATGGGGTGGGATGTTATTTCTCCCAACATTCTTAAATGTGGCATTAGCAACTTGCTATAGGAATGATTGGTGCTTTGTATAATATGTCACTGAAGGATCAAGTAGAGATAGTCAACCTGATGTGAAGACAAATACTTGCTAAAATCTGAAACCCTAGCTTTATGAGACCAAAGACTACCTAGAATTTTTGAGGAGGAGAAGAATAAGTGAGATTAAAGCATCTGGTAGAGTTTTCATGAAAGACTTTCATACTGAAAAAAGTGTCCAAACAGTTGTTCCCATTAATTGCTTCAGAAGGCTCGAAAAAAGATGTTAAGGATGTGCTGGGATTTTGGCAGAGAAATATCTATTTTTAACTGTATAAATTTTAAGGGTTTTCGAGTAGCTATAGTAAATGAGGGTAGAGGGTTAATTAATCTCTGTGTGAATTTTCAGGCTCAGGGAGATAGGAGAGTAATAATAGACTCTGGGCTTGCCTCAGTGTACAGTAAGCATTTGTGTGTTACTCTTGCCAAGTATGTGTCTTCCAGTCCTGATACGAAGGTGAGAAGAGTATTCTGTTTCTACAGCAGTTGCTTCTTGGCTTCTGTCTACTGCAACTGTGGCAATAGTAAAAGATGCCTGTCCACAGGAGTTGGATTCAAATCTAAAAATACCTGTCAGTGAACAGCAGTAGCCACACTTGGCCATGTCTTTGTAATACCAAAAATCTTGGAAGTAGGAGTATGTAGAGCAAAATGTACAGCAATTGTCAAGTTACATTTAAACCAATTGTAGACTGAAGAGATGAGAAGGAAGAAAGTAGGGGGAAAATATATAACATGCTATGGTTCCATGTTTTGTTGTCTTCTGATTCATAATTTTTTCAGGAGTACTTAAAAGCCTGTTCTTGTGAAAATCTCACTTCTGAGTGATGTTACACAAGCCCCATTTCTTCTTGTGGTTTGAATGAGAAGCAAAATTGGGGTAGTAAAGTAATAACTTGGCAAGCTTGTTGGCAATGTTTTTATTGCTTCTGAAATATCATGAGTAGTTGTGGAGATTTTATTCAAAAGTAGCTTGTATATTAGGGAGGTATTACCTGGGCTATGTAAAATCTGCCACACAAGACAAACGAGTGTTTGTCCTGGTTTGATAGAGTTAATTTTCTTCCTAGTAGCTGGTACAGTGCTGTGTTTTGTGTTTAGTGGGAGAACAATGCTGATAACATGTTGCATAATGTTGCTAAGTAGTAGGCTTAGCTTGATCAAGGACTTCTTGGGCTCTAATGCTTTACCAGTGAGGAGGTGCATAAGAAGCTGGGAGGGAGCGCAGCCAGGACAGCTGACCCAAACTATCCAAAGGAATATTCCATGCCACAGAACCATCAGGCTCAGTATATAAACTGGGGGGAGTTGGCCAGAAAGGGCTGATCACTGCTTGGGGACAGAGTGGTTATCAGTCTGTGGGTGGTGAGCAATTGTATTATGCATCACTTTGGGTGTTTCTTGTTCATCTCTCTTACTATTATTTTACTTCGATTTATTTCAATTACTCAGTCTATGGCTTCCATCTTCTTCGAATGTCCTCTGTCCTACTGCAGGGGAGTGGGTGGCTGTGTGGTACTTAATTACCAGCTGGGTTAAGCCACAATAGCGTTCCAGTTCAAAATACATGGAAATGAGTCAGATGGTCAAACTTTAAGTTTTACTAAGAAGCCTACAGAACATGGAAATGAGGGAATGTTACTTCAAATTCTAATACTTTAAAGGAGAGCATAATTTATTACCCTTGGACATTTTGACAGAAATAGGTCATTTGGTTGAATCTTGGTATGAAGATGGTTTGTTGCCAAGCTGATCAGCCTACATCCAGGGAAGGGCAAACTGTTGTGGAAGCTGACAATTAATGGACTGGTCTAGAGGTTATCAGAATCATATAACTAAGGGTGTGTATGGTTGCCTTGAAAGAACAAGGTTGAATCCCATGTGGTATCTGAGTAGAAACAATGGAAAGATGAAAAGGATGGCAGAGTGAAATGGGTAGGGGAGGAAGAGTGGTTTTGTCTGCCAGAACAAGGTCTCAAGAGGTAAAGAGGAGAAGGGCTTGGAAAGATTTTTCAAGAAGTGTCGCTGAACGTGGCAGTACATATCCCAGGTTAATATCCTGTTCTTATGTCAAAAGTAAGGATGCAGTTGAAAATGAATCATCTTGGAGAAACTTTGCTTTTTAGAATTAATTCCAGAATAAGCAGAAGACAGTAACTTGGTAGATTAAGATTGTCTAGCTATTAGTAGAGGTGATGGTACCAAAGTTGTCTTTATCCTTTTTATTTAAACATAAAAACTTAGAAATTCTTTTCTACTTTTAGAATTAGTGAAACTGTAGCAGTAATTTATTTTTATAACCTTATTAACCTGCAAAGGCTAGGAGAAATACTCATCTGGTGTATGGTTCTGAAATTAACAATATTTGTATACTGGTGGATCTGTGGTAATGGACAAGTAGGCAACAGGAAACTTATTCAATAGTCAAGTCTGCTATCAGAAACTTCAGAAGTCTTAATTTGCATGAAGTCTGAATATGTTCAGTAGAAGAGGATGGATGTAAAGAAAGTTCTAAATAAGATGCTTCTGGAGTGAGGTTTTGTTAGGTCCTCTGCAATGAGGAAGACTGCCTGCGGGGCAAGGGGTTGCCTTTCTGTGAATGTTTCACTAGAACAGCAATGTTGAAGATTCAGTTTGCATCTTTGGCAAATAATCATTTGAGCAGTTCGCTGAGTGTTCTCAAGCAGAATCTTTAGTTCCTCATTTCCTTCCATGTCTTGTGGATTGTTTTTTTTGCTTAATATCTCTAAGTTTTTTTTTTCCTGTACAGTCACATGGTTAAAAGTTTGTGCCTCAGATCTCAGCATTGCATGTTTCAATTACCTTAATGATTAATGAATGCAAACCTGTATGGATTTCTGATGTAGTGAGCCTCTGAAGTCTCACATACATATTTGTAGTGTATAGGAGACCATAGAAAATGCATCCGTAATACAAATTAATTTTACAAAAGGCTACAAATACATCAAGTGCATAAACAGTAGGAGGAAAGTAAGTTTCCCATAAATAAACTGGCCGCTTGAAAGGTCCTAGTAAGTTGAACCAACAGCCTTGTAGGTATGATTAGTTTTAAAGAGGAGTTTGAGAATGAGGGGGCAATAGATGATAGCTCTGAACAGTGTATTCTTTCTAGTAGTGTGTGTCTTTCCTGTTTTTGCTTAAGAATGCATTAAATGACTGGATCTGTGTGATAGTTCATAAGAGATTTTTGGTGATTATCAAAGATTTGATGCACTGAAAGGGAAGTGTTTTTGAAACTGTTAATTACTGATCTGTGGCAGTGCTCCTCTCTTCCAGCGTGTGGGCTTTAGGCAGAGTTCACAGGTCTCAAGTTTGTGAAGGGAGATGAAGGTGAGGAATTACAATTCATGCTTCTAATGCTACTGTTCCTAGGGGCTGATCGGCATACGGCTGTTGGCTTCCAGGTCTTGGTGTGTAGTAATGCACCAAAGCTTCTGTCAGAGGACAAACTGTAACTTCCATCTGAAGTGTGTTACACTTGAGATTTTATGTTGGAGTCTGAAATTAATCGTACTTCATGCTCTGGATTCTGGCTGTTTGGAGGAAAAGAATGGCATCCCGAGTAGGTGGGAATTTTTTAGCAATTGGCTTTTATGCAACAAATATAATAGGTTATGATAGCATCTAACAATAGGAACTGCTACCTTCCGGCACTAAAAAAAAAATATTAAAAATTGAGTTGTCCCTTAACATTGTGAGTCTTGAGGAATTTGACTTCTTTTCACCATTGCCTTTGATTTGTGAACCTCTCTGGAGTCTTGTCAGGTCACATTCAATCTTTTTGCTGCAAGAATAAGACCTAGAGCGGTGTATGATAGGCAGGATAGAGAGAAGGGTTTTAAAATGAAATGTATTGATTACACAATAATTTGCTTCCAAACCATGGGGTTTTGAGATTAAAGGAAACTTCTAAGATTCTTGATAGATGATCTAACTTGGCCACAGTGCAAAATCTAAAGCACTGAATCATAATCCTTTCAAGGCTGCACAAAATCAGTTTGATCATGGCTTAATTTTTGCATGGAAGGGAGGGTCCTGACTGATTCTCGTAATATTAGTTATTTTTCACTGCAGTCACTGGGAATAAACCTACTTCAGAACTGCCTCTATGCAAATCCTAGCATTGTACTGCTAGGATTCTCAGTAATGTTTTTCAGGAGGGCTTCATAAGCCTTTGCCACTGTGAAATCATGTATTTTCCTTTATTGTGTGACAAAAATAATTTGTAAAAGAGAAATTGCAAGTGCTAGAGAGAAATACATGCAGCAAAATCCTGAAGTAATCAGATACAGGAGAAAACAAGGGGTGCAGATACTGGAGATTTGGCAATTTCGGGTGTTCGATTTGTAAATTTGAAATAATCTCTAAATTTGTAACTTATATTGAAATAATTCTTTCTCTCTGTTTTGCTGCCTCAATGAAAATAGAGATGCTGGATTTGTAGAAAACTCAAGCAACAAAGACCTTCCAGCTCTCCTGAAATGATCTGTCTTCTAATTCCTTGCATCGCTTCAAGGAGTTCTATTCAGTTGATGAAACTTAATTTGAAAAACGTTTTGTAAAACCAGCAAGAAAATTCATTTTAAGAGAACTATGATGCTTTAGAATAAGTGTGAAAGTTAGTATTTATTAAGGAATGTTTGAATTTGTATTTTTTTTTGCATAATGAGCTTTTATTTAAACAGTAGATCCTGTATATTTATTGTTTAAGTTCTTATTGTAATAGCCTTGTTTTGTTGCATTAGTAAAGGGTATGTGTGTTTATGTACTATAAATAGTATCTCCAATCAGAAGTATCATTTTCATCCTAGCTGTGGCCTTGACCAGTAGTTGCATCACCTGCAGCCGGAACTCTAAGATCAATGGCAAAGACGTTAGTGTGAATTCTCAGGGTCTAATAGACTTTATTAAATGTCTGTCTTAGCTTTCCTGCTTGTAATTGAGAAAATATTTAAACTCGTGCTCCCCTTTTGAAATCTAGTATTTTAACCAGAGGAACCTAATTTAAGAGTGTGAAATTAAAGCATGTAGTTTGCTGTTTGAATATATGGTTCCTTTGCTGTGTATGTAACTTCTTGAGGAAAAACCTGCTCCTGAAAAAGCTATTGAATATTTGTGTGATCTGGATTATGATGATGGCCGGGGTAAAAGTCATGTTGCTCTTCACGTGGTAATGATTTATGGTTTTAAGGCAGTAATTCTGTTTAGTAGTTCATTAGGTGCTGGCTGTACTCAGTCAACTTGGACTTGATATATCCTTTTTTCGTAAAGGACCTCATGTTACCAAAGCAAGGATAAGGGTGTCCCAGCTTCTTCAGTGCAGCCTCTGCCCTCCCCAGCTGGACTAGCATATGTAGGAGAATAAAATTGCTCAAGGTTGAGTAGGTTCTGATAAGACTCATTTATCTGTGCTACAACCAATTGTGAGAACTCCTGGCATGAACAGCCAGCTACCCACCCTCAAAGGTCAGGCTGGCATATGACTGCAAAATTGTGTGTGTGCAGTGAAGTAAAGGCATGGAAAACCTGCATTGACTCAGTAGAAAAAAAAAGTGTGGCAACTTCAGAGGGGACCGTGGAGTTGTGGAGATGCTGACTTTGGCCTGCAATTCCGTAGACACTTCAGGGTGGGTATTACAGGTTTTATTGTATCTAAATGGTGATTTATGTCCTTATTCCTGCATTATTGTCCACAAGGTACTGCCCTGTGTCACAGGCCTGTATCACCTAATTTTTTCAGACTGTTTCATTTTCATTAGTACAGCTGTTTTAGCTTGTGATCGGTGTACTGCACCTCATTGATAATCTAAGAGGGTATTAGACGCACAGAAGTGACACCTAACCCCGTCAGTCTGGCTTGATTGACCCCTCGGCTTCCGAAACACGGGTTCATTTTTTTTAAAACCCAGGTTAGTCCCACATCCATTTTCACACACATTCTGTGCAGTTTAAAGGTTGGTCAGAATCGAATATTGCTCTTTCAAATTTGATAATGTATGAGTACAGAACTGTGACCTTTGATACATAGTAATACATCAACATGACACGAGCAGTAAGTGCAGCAATTACCTCCACTACACTTGAGATTGTGTTTTAGCTCTCATCTTGTAAGCAATTATTTCAGGGAAAAAAAGGATGCCTCTAAGTTAAATATAATTTGCAAATAGTGTAAATGCAGAAATTAATCTTTGGGGACCTTTTGATTTACAGGTAAATGTTTTCAAATGAATCTTGGCTTTTAAATTAACGTTGGTTCAGTGATAGAAAGGAGTCCTGTGCCAGTGGCTTATTTCGCAATACTTTTTTCTGGGAGAGTTTCTTTAACCCTTTTTGTTGTGTTCTAATGTAATCTAAGTTTCATAATCTGATTTATGGCTGAAACCTGATCCTGCAGGCAGTGGACGTGTCTCTGTGTTCATGTTGCTCCTGTGATAATACTTGTAAGAGTTGTTTACGTGTGTGATGATAATGCGAGTTTACATGCTTTTAAATGCCTTTCAGAACACATGAGAACATCTGGGACCTGCACCACACGTTGATTTAAAAGATTGTTTTAGCTGCTCCAGTAATGTTTCATCTTTTCCCTGAGCAGATCAAGATACATTTGATTGAGTTTCCAAGTCCTCTTTCTCACCTGTTTTTATAAATTATTTGGATAATGATAGTGCACAACCACTGCCTGGGAGGCACTATAAAAGTACAAATCAATACTCCTTGCCAAAGAGCATAAAGCCTTGAGGGGACTGATAGCAGTTGCAGCTTCTGTTCTGTGGACTAAAAATCAGAATAAAATTACTGCGTCATTCTGAGCAAGCAATTGAATAACCATTGAATGGTGACTTTCTGTCAATGCTGTCTGTCATGACCAAAACTCAAAGGAATAACGTGAAGTAGAACTTCTTGTTCCTCTGAAACATCTGCTTCCTCAGCAGCCGAGCACTGAACAGTGTTGGTGTGTTGGAGTTAGGCACTGAACTTCAATTCAGGAGCTGGGAAAATGCTTATTTTGTTCTATATTGAGGTGAAATCAACACCTTTTGGAACGGTTTTCTTTAAGCTGTCAAAAATCTGAACCCCTAGTCCCCAGTACTGTTTGGCTGTAGTGGGACCCAAGCACAGGATGCAGCTGATCCAAGTGGCTGGCGGGGGATAGAGACTGAGCGGAGCCCATCTCTTCCAAATCTGCTGTGAGCAGAAGGGCAAGTACTTTCGAACTCCTGGCTATGGAGATTGCATGCTTGTTGTACATACACACTAGTTATATATTGATAATAAACCTAAAACCTTTTCTAGTTCAAGTTCCATGGAGGGGTCCCTAACAGATTTTCTTTTCACTAGGGACAGAAAATTCTTGACTATCTCTGGTGGAGTTTGTTTTCTGTGAGGAAAAGCATAGAGCATCACAATAAATTACTCCTAATCAAGCTCTTGGCTATAAAAACTATTTTGCAAAGCCACAAGGAAGGTGTTGCCAGGGAAATTGCACGAGCATGTTTCTGTGATGTTTCTTGCTGCTTTTAACCTGTGCCATAAGGGTACTTGGGCCCTTAACTCTTTTGAAATAATAAAAACCCACCTCAAGCTTTTTTGCATACTTTCATTAAATTTTAAACGCTAGCAATACTAACTTATTTTGGGAAAAATACACAACCTACTTTTGTGCAGTATTTTCCATTAAAACATATAAATGGCATGTATATGGAATCTTGAGTCTCTGCTGCTGACTTATCAGATGAAGGTGGTTACGACAGCTCAATGTAAGAGTTCTTCAACTGGGCTCCATGTCTGTAGGAAGTTCCTTACGGTGAAAGGATGCCCTTGTGAAGGCAGGTGACTCCATGGGTAGAGAAGTGCTACAAGTAACAACAGCGAAACAATGGCACTGCTGTGTCATTGCATGTCAGTGTTGAAGATCATTTGTTCGTGCTGAATTTATTACTTCTGGTAACAGATGCAGCATCTGTGTTCTCTGTGTTGTACATTATTAACCATTTTTTAAAGAGCTGATAACACTGGTATTCCCCAACAGTAGACTCCCTTTTATAATATTTGGAGAACGTTTCCTTTCTCTCATACTTTAAAGAAGGGGGTGAAGGTAATATTTCTTCCCCACTACTGCAGCAATATGACTAGAAGTATTCATTTCAAGTGTTTGTTTCAGCTATTTGGCTGCATCTCTACCTTGCTGGGGCTTTTTTAAAGAGATGGTGAATGATGGCCTGGCTGCAGAATGTATTTTCTTCTTAAGGCTTATCTTAAAACTTTGCTGGTTTGCTGTGGTGAAATCCTCCTGGAAGGGGTTTGTTGGATCATTGAAAAAATGATGGGTAGCTGAAATTTAGGGATACTTACTGGGAAGTACCCGACTAAGACTGTGTGCAACTTTATGTAAATACTGATATATTCTAATAAGTTGTTGTCTTCATCTAGTCATGAAGTCTGATCTATTTGATTTTAAAATCTTAGAGTGCATTATGAGTAAGTGTAATGAGTCTGAGAGCTGGAATATTGTTAGCCATTGTGAGCAGTACTGAAAGAGTCTCAGAATGTGTAATGTGATAGATGCAATTTTGTTTGATTTTTTTTTTTTTTTTTTCCCAAGGCCAATTTAATTTTGATTTATTTGCCTCATTAACCCAAGGATTCAGAAAATTGAATGCCACCTGAGTGAGGTATTATTAACACTAGTGAAATATCTTCAGAATCATTCCATGCTTATCAATTGGTCTTTTGAAAGCATTTTAAGGGCATAATGATACTGTAGTGAAAATGTACAGCATCATTTAAAAATTGCAAGATCCTTATTTGATTTCTGAAATAAGGCTTGGTCACCTGACTTAAATATATACTGATCTATTATTTATGCTTTGAAAATAGAGCTGATAAAAAGCATAAGTGTTCTTGATATTATATTTTGTCATATCTAGCTAAAAAGATTGAAATCCAGAGAAACAATTTTCTGAAGAAATGAAATAGTATGCCCTCCTGAACCCCTGGGGAAAATAGCTTCTCTGTTTGCTCAGAATATGAAGCAGTAAAACAGTATAAGTAAAACAGACAGCCCGTGTCACATTCCTATTTGTAAGGTCTGGAATGATGTTTTAAAAACATTTTCTAGTTATTTTTGATAAATAAATGGTGCAAATAACATCTGCAAACCAACCCTGCTGATGTAAGATTTTTCACATCAGATTTGTTTGTCAGTGAAAGTTCAGAAAATTGCTTTGCAAAACTAAAGTTGTATAACTCCCCAAAATATTTATAACAAATGTACAAGAATAAATCTTGCTTTCTTTTTGCCTTCCCTCAAAGAAACTGATGCTGATTCTCCATTATCTTTGCTCCTGGGCTCAGTAGGTAGCTTGATAAAATTATCAAATATCAAAAAGCTCAATTGTTAAACACAGACATGTTTATAAAGCATTCAGTAGTTGAATGCCCCACTCACATTGACATGGGGGCGTCCAGCTACCCTTTGGGATAAAGCCTTGAACCACTAGTGTCCCACTGAAAACTAAGCTTGAGGGTCATAAGAACCTTCCATGGGTGATGCGCCTGTGGTCAGGTTGTATAAAGTATGTGTGTTGCCTGGCTGTTGCTTTCTGCAGGTTCTGCCAAAGCCTGGCACACTGAGGATGAATGTTGTGGTTTACCGAGGCACACTCTTCAGTGTAAGGATGCAGATGGAAAAAGATTCCCTGGGCAGCTGGGTTAAGAAATCTGATGTCATGGCTCTACAGATGCACTGTTGCTTAAGACTAGCCAAGGAAGTGTGTTTCTGTACATCTCCCAAAACATTGCTTGTTGAGGGAGTGGGTTTTCAGCTGCGTTTGATGCATGTGTATCTTCAAGGCTCTCTTGTTATGGTTCAGGCTTCTGTTCTCCACAGGGTTGTATTAAACCAATTTTAGTAATGTTTTTGTAAGGATTCTCAATCAGTAGACTCCATCTCAGAGGTACTCTAAGGTGAATACTATATCTAAGATGTACTCATCCACAGAGTACAAGATATACCTATGTTCTAAATATGTATGTGTTCAAGAGTGACCAATAAAAAGGGATTTGTTTTTGTTTTTCAGCCTTTACAAAAATAATAATTGAATAAACTCTTACCTCTGCGCTTATACAACACTGGAATATTACCCTATGTTTTATTTTAATACCTGAACAAAAAAGGGGTTTTACCAGTCTTACAGCATGTGAGCGGATCTCTGTTAGTTCAGTGAAAATAGTCTTGGGTGGGGAGCTTTCATCAGGATCAGGGCTAGAATTCTAGATAGGTTATTTTATGTATTATGGTTGTATGTGTTCACTGTTGTATATAATGGTGGTGCTGACAACTGAGAACATGACACTGAATAATCAGAACACATACTTCTGTATATAAACAAATATAAGAACGAATGAACATGGTAATATTAAGTCCTAAAACTTCAAGCGTTACTAATCCACCCAAGATTCATTTCAGGTATCTCTTTGGCAAAAGGCTTGAGTGCTTCAGTATGTCATGATTTGTCCACCAGTAATTTTTCATATCATAATGTCCTTGTCATTAAGTATAGCCATGAGGGGAAATCACCATGATTTTATTGAACCTGACTTTATTGCATCATTTATTTCCTCACAA